CCAGCTCGGTCCTCTTTTCCGTTTTCCTCTTTTTCTCTCAAGTTTCTGAAACAACGATCCTGCTATTCTAATGGCTGATCAAACTTCTCCTCATTCTGGGATGTCGACTGCTACCGGCTCCACCACAACCCAGGCAGCTCGTTATGAAGACCCATATTCCAACCCTCTCTACTTAGCTGCCAGCGACAACTCTTTTCTACCAGTCATCAGTTTCAAGCTCAACGATGACAATTACCTTCTCTGGAGCGAATCCATGGAGGTTGCCCTGAGAACGAAGAACAAATGGGGTTTCATCGACGGCACAGTTCAGGTACCCGATGAAACAGATCCTTCTCGTAGTACTTGGGATAGGTGTAATGGCACCATACTCTGTTGGATTCGTAATTCTGTCTCTGAGGACATCGTTCCTAGTCTGAGAAATATCAGATCTGCTGCTGATGCTTGGGAATACCTGAAATCCAAGTTCAGTCAAGGTGATTCTGTTAGAATCGCTAATCTACAGGAGAAAGTTGATCTTTCTAAGCAGTATAACAAAACGGTTCGACAATATCATACTGATTTGAAGCTTTTGTGGGATGAGCAACAACATTATGAACCGATTCCTGTTTGCGATTGTGCTTCAAAAACTTATGAAACTGTGATCAGGTATCGGGACAGGGGTAGAGAAGGGAAACTGGCAAAGATGGCAAGAAATCTCAGGAACTCTTTTGCCGTTATTGCAAGAAGGACAATCATCTGATAGAGGATTGTTTTAAGTTAAAGAACAAAAGGAAGAATGAGGCAGGTGGCAGAAGTTTTGTTGGTTCTGTTGATACCAATGGTACTGATGGAGTGGTATCTTCAGGAGGAAGTTCTCAGAGTCCCAGCAGTCCAGTTTCTGAGAACAGGACTAGCCAGGAGGGTCAATCTATTTGGTTTTCTGCTGATGAGATTCACAAGCTGTGCAGTCTCCTTCAGCAACAACCTGCTCATTCACCAGCTCAATTTTCTCAGTCTAATGCAGTGGTAACTCGTCCTGCTCCAACACGTCTCACTGTTTCAGGTAGCACTTGCCTTTCTATCAACTCCCAGAATGTTTCTTCTGCTGTATGGGTGCTTGATACAGGTGCTAGTGATCACATTGTTTGCAATGTGAATTTTGTTTCTAAGATCACAGGAAGTTCATAACATGTTTGTTAATCTGCCTAATGGTCAGCAATCTAAGGTGACTCATGTAGGTTTGGTTAAGTTGCCTTGTGGCATTCTTCTCACCAACGTTTTGTTGGTGCCTTCCTTCTCTTATAACCTTATTTCTGTCAGCCAGTTAACCAAAAATACCCCAGTATCACTCATGTTTGAATCCGACTTCTGTTGTATCCAGGACCTAATATCACAACAGAGGATTGGTTCAATCCAGGTAGATAGAGGACTCTACTTGCTCGGGAGTGCTACTGGAAACCTAAACACTTCCTTACCTCAAATCTGTGGAGTGAAGACCGGTCAGGATTCATCTTTGTGGCATCTTAGACTTGGCCATTTATCTCTTCCTAGATTACAGACTATTCACCAACATTGTAATGAAGTTACAGTTCCTTCTTCTTCTCATTGTGAGATTTGCCAATTGTCCAAACAAAAGAGAATTCCTTTTCCTCTTAGTCAGTCTCATAGCAAGTAGGGATGGCAATCAAACCCATGACCGCGGGTATCCGGCCGCCCCCGACCTAATCAACGCGGGGAATTCCCGTTTTGACCGGGTATGGGGCGGGTATGGGTAAAACCCGCAAAATTTTTGATGGGTATGGGGCGGGTATGGTTTTAGCCTTCCCCGCCCCATACCCATCCCCATACCCGCCCCACCAAGATAATTTCTTCATATATAAAAAAATATGTGCGACAAATTACAATCTATCAATGATGATGCAGATAACTTGAGAAAATAAATAGTAACAATGCAATTGAGTGGACACCTTAATCAAAACCTAATTCATTTCTCTCAATTCTCGTTTCACTCTTTCACTTTCCCCCTTGTTAACAAGATTATGTTAGTTAATTATTATTTAGTAGATGTATCAGAGTTAGAACATAATAATTTGGAAAATATTATACTCTATATTATGTATTAATGGATATTTTAAGATCATATTCTTTGAACCATATTAAAGAAATGGCGGTGTTTTGTTGACTTCATGATATAATATGTTCGTTTAGAGTTATAATCAAAACTTTTCTTGTAAGTTTTAGGGATAATAATGTTGGATGTATGGGTATGGGTATTACCCATGGGTACCCGAAACCCACGGGTATGGGGATGGGTTTGCAAAACATTCCCCGCATAGGTATGGGGCGGGTATGGGTTTGGATATTTGAAGATGGGTATGGGGATGGTTTAGGAAAAGCCGCCCCAAACCCGCCCCATTGCCATCCCTAATAGCAAGAGTGCTTTTGATTTAATCCACGTTGACATTTGGGGACCAGTTGATGTAGTTTCACATGATGGTTTTAAGTATTTTCTCACCATAGTGGATGATTTCAGTCGATGTACTTGGTTGTTTCTTATGAGTTACAAGTCTGAGACTAGAGCATTATTGCAATCTTTTTGCTTAATGGTAAAAACTCAGTTTGCTTAACATGTGAAGATCATTCGATCTGATCAAGGACAGGAGTTCAACATGATTGATTTCTATCAATCACAGGGCATTGTTCATCAAATGAGCTGTGTTAGAACTGCTCAACAAAATGGCAGGGTCGAGAGGAAGCATCAACACTTGTTGAATGTAGCTAGATCCCTTAAACTTCAGTCAGGTTTACCTAAAAGTTTTTGGAGTCACTTTGTGCTACATGCTGCCTACCTAATTAATCGCATACCAACACCTGTTTTAGAGAACAAGTCCCCCTTTGAATGTCTTTATGGAGTTCCCCCAGATTACAGTACCCTTGGGGTGTTTGGTTGTATGGCTTATGCCACTGATCTTGATGAACACAAAGGAAAGTTTGACCCTAGAGCCAGAAGAGCAGTGTTCATAGGGTTCCCCTTTGATGTGAAGGGCTATAAACTTTATGATTTGGACAAGTTGCAAGTATTTGTCAGTAGGGATGTTGTCTTCCATGAAGAAGTCTTCCCCTTCAAAACTGTGGTCACTCCTGCTGCTGATACTGGTTCCAGTTCTGTTCCATCTCCACTTTCTTACCTCTATGACTCAGAACCCATTTTACCTTCAGACCACAACATACATGAGACCACTGATCCAGACTATTCTCCTTCTTCTGGATCAGATGCTCCTGATTCTTCTACTTCCTCACCTTCCCCTTCTCCTTCCCCTTCTGCTCCTACACCTCCCATTGCTCTTCATAAACCACAAAGAGCAATCAAGAAACCTGCATATTTATCTGACTATCATGTCAGCTTGCTATCTTCTACCACTCTCCCACATGATTCTAAGCTACTTTATCCCCTGAGTGACTGCATCAGTTATGCTCATTTACCCCCTTCTCATAAACTTTTTTCCCTCTCTATTACTGTTCTTCCTGAACCACACACTTACCAGCAGGCAGCACTCATTCCTTGTTGGAATGATGCAATGAATGAAGAAATGGCAGCTTTGGATGCCAACAGAACTTGGGATGTGGTGGACAGACCAGTTGATAAACCAGTTGTGGGCAACAAGTGGGTTTATAAAACCAAGTACCTTCCTAATGGTTCAATTGAAAGGTGCAGGGCACGTTTAGTTGCAAAAGGGTACACACAAACACATGGTGTAGACTTCATGGAAACCTATTCACCTGTGGCTAAAATGAACTCAGTCAAGTTGTTAATAGCTGTTGCTGCCATCAATGGTTGGGATTTACAACAAATGGATGTTAGCAACGCGTTTTTACATGGTGATTTGGATGAGGAAGTGTTCATGGAACTGCCTCCTAATTTGAAGAATCAGGAAGGGATGCAGGGTAAAGTTTGTAGACTTAGAAAGTCTTTGTATGGCCTCAAACAAGCCTGTCGACAATGGTATCTCAAACTCAGTCATTGTCTTCAGGATTTTGGGTTCATACAGTCTTTTGATGATTATTCTGTGTTCAAGTTACAAAAACAGGATTCTTGTGTGTTTGTGATCATCTATGTTGATGATCTTATCATTGCTGGGAATGATGCTGACTTAATCAAACAGACAAAACAACATTTACATCAATCTTTCAAAATCAAAGATCTGGAAACTCTCAAGTACTTTCTTGGTGTTGAAATTGCCAGGTCTGCTGCAGGGATCTCTCTTTGCCAAAGAAAATTCTGTCTAGAACTTCTTTCTGAGGCAGACTTCCTTGAATCCAAGCCTGCTAAGACTCCTATGAGTATGAAAACCTCCTTGTCTGCATCTGATGGTGTTCCTCTTCCAGATGGATCTGTTTTTCGCCATCTTCTGGGCCAACTTCAATACCTCACAACCACCAGACCAGACATATGCTTCCCTGTCCAGCAGCTCTGCCAATTTCAGGGGGCCCCAACCACAGTTCATCTTCAAGCATTGCACAGGATCTTAAGATACCTGAAATCTCATCCATCTCAAGGACTGTGGTTTTCTTCTTCCAACTCTGCTCAACTCAAGGGTTACTGTGATTCCGATTGGGCGACTTGCCCTGATACAAGACGTTCCGTAACAGGCTACAGCACCTTCCTTGGCAATGCTTTAATTACCTGGAAGAGTAAGAAGCAATCCACAGTGTCCCGTTCTTCCTCCGAAGCAGAGTATCGAGCTTTAGCTCAACTTTCCTGTGAAGTTCAATGGTTAAAATCTCTTCTAGAATTTTATGGAATTGGTCATCCAGAACCAGTTCAAGTTTTTTGCGACAATCAATCTGCACTTCATATTGCAGAAAATCCAGTCTTTCACGAGCGAACAAAGCACATTGAGGTTGATTGCCATGTAACTCGTGAAAGACTGCGATCTGGATTACTATCTCTGCATCACATTCAATCAGAAGAACAAGTCGCCGATTTCTTCACCAAGGGACTGTCTTCTGAACGATTCGACTTCCTTCTTTCCAAGCTGGGAGTTCATGACATGTATCTCCCAGCTTGAGGGGGCATGTGAAGGAAGGATGCAGAGAGCAGCCATTGATGACGAGCTTCAAGGACAAGACGACCTGGGCTTCCTTTCACCTTGGTCGAAGAAGAAAGAGCTGCAGGATCAAACGACGCCGTGCTTTCTAAGTAGTCGACTCTACAAGACAGAATGGCGTCGCATAGTAGAGACGTTAGTGAATAATGTAACGCCAAGTGGCGAGATGTTAGTGGCTAGCTTAGTTACCGTTATTCTACAGTAACTTTACTTTACCTTTCTGTTTTGTAGTGTAGTGGTGAATAGGTAGAGATTTGTGTATATACTCTCTTCAGAAAATGGAATGAAGCAATTCTGGCAAATTCCCCAACTATGCCTTTCTTTCGTTTTCTGATTTCTGCCCTCATCATCGGTTAGGGTTTCAACCTTTCTCAAGAAATCACATTCATCCGCATATATTAAGTTTGGTTGTTCTATCTATGATTTAGCTCGATATCGATATCAGACAGTGACGAATCTAGGGGTGGCCACTCTGGGTCCGGAGTTAGTATAACCCTTATGAATTTATTAATTTTAGTCATTCGATCCAGTGTAATTTTATAATAAATTGTGTGTAATAGAGAAAATGGGTTAGATGAACATGTTCAAATCACAACTCCAAATTTAGCCAAAAAATTCTTGCTCCAATGATTCTCTTCTAAAGAAAAACAAACAATGTAATCTAAAAGTCTAAAAGTCTAAAATGTAAAATACTTAAAGAACTATGAGGTTTGTTCTCTTGAAAAATTACTAGAGCAGCTCGTGGAAAAAGGGATGAACACACAATACAAATTGATTAGTCGATTGATTTGTCTAGTGTTGACATTGCCCGTTTAAATAACTACTATGGAGAAAACCTTTTCAACAATGGAACAGGTGAAATATGGTTTGTGCAACAAAACGAGCGATGAATTTCTCATTGATTAGTTAACTATTTTATTTGAAGGAGAATAGTATGCTTTTAGTATGATGTAGACTCCCATTATTAATGAATTCTCTATATTAATAGATCGACATGTACAATTAGTATTGTAAAAAAATAATGAATTTTTTTTTGCAATATCTAATTTTCTAATAAAATACATCTCAGTATTCTACTATGTCCTGGATAAGATTAGGAAAACTCAATAGTTACCAAAATAAACTGACAAGTAACTACCAAACAAGGAACACCCGAGTGAGTTATATATGAACCAAGCATCATTTTTATTTTTCTGGGTAGAAACCAAGCATAATTTTGATTAAGAAAGAAGCCTGTCTTGCCATTGGAGTCCTGTCCATCCAGCATGCTCCCAAATATTGCCGGCCATCGTTATAATCCAGGCACAAGATAAGGTAACTAGTTAACTTCCATGAAATTCAACTACTCACCACCTAGCACTCATCCACAACCAAGCTTCAAGTTTGGGAGAAAACATCAGCAGAACAAGGAATATTGAGAAGGTAACAGAGTTTTTTTTTTTTTTTTATAGAGAGAAGGTAACAGAGTTGATTCCATTGGAAAACTAAATTCATAGGGTACACAATCTTATCATTTTCGCAGTGAGCTAAAACGAATTTTAATATTTGAAAGGTTTGTTAAATATATTTAGCACCTATTTTGCAACTCAATTGTTTTTTGTTGTATACAACCCAACAATTATTAATAAAGTGGTCATTAGTCTTATTCATGAGATCGTTCTTCATTATAATAATAAAATCTCATTTCACAACTTGCAATGCATCAATTACAACTTTCGAAGTTGTTTTAGAGATCTTTATTTCATACTTTTAAAAGGATGAAATATGTTTTCTTCACCTAAATGTGAGAGGAGGTGTCGCTTGATACACCTCTCCACTAACCTAGGTCCGCCCCTAATAACTATATCACGGAATGTAAATTTTTCTCCACGCTTCAATGATACAAAAAAAAAAAGGAGAATTAAGACAAAAAGATTCGAAATCCGAGGAATAAACCGAGTAAAAAATGTGTCCATATGTATCTTCAAAGCTACCAAATACACATATTTCGATTTATTTGTATGTAGACAATCCCAATTGTCTGAAGGGTATTAAACAGTGATGAAAGTAGTTCAATCATAGCCAACAATGATTTCACTTAAACCCCAACTCGCTGATTAAAATGTGCGACCCATCTCGTCGTCATCGTACCCAAAATTTGCCGGCGATAGTCGTCCACACAGTAACATAACCGCCTCCCCCGATTCCAATTTTGTAGCTTGTTTTTTAAGGCATGTTTACCAGCTCAAGAGGCCATGCAAGACAAAGAAGAAGAGTATCAGAATCAATGCTACCAAGGTATAACTCTCGCCATCATCGCCATACGCAGATGACCCTTGGCGCTGCCATCTCCCGTCGCGGCAGACTCCAAATATCGGCAGACACCACGAGATCAAATGCATAAACAGTACCAGAGAAATGGGAATTGCCATCAAGACCAAAGGTGACAGACCAGAGCTCTCACCACTGCTGCTGGGCGGAAGCAGAAACAGCAACACATCCGCGGCTGTCATGAGCGTCGGAGGAAGAATCACCACTCCCAGGGCTCCCACCAGCAGCAAAGGTAGCACTGGTGACGGACCGCTGCTGCTGCTGCTCATTTCACTCCCTGTTTGAGGATATCCACAGACAGAAGGAGGGAAGGGACTGGTTAGGCAAAGGTGGCAACGTTTGCTGCAAGTTGAAATGACAACCTGAAATTCTGGCAACATGATATTTAATACATAGTTTGGACTCCTAAAAACCAAACAAAACAAGGAATCTTATCTCCATAGCTAATGAAACAAACTAATGGAAGTCCAAAGTCACTATCTGAAGGTGTTTCTACCATAATAAGAAACAGAAACATGGAGTTAAAGAAAATTATTTTACTGATGAATGAAGGGAAAAAGGACAAATAGAGGTAGATTCCTTATTCCCTTCATCTTAATAATTCATTCATGATGCAGACGAAGAGATAGAAAGATAAAGACTTTGATAACAACATAGACATTGATACCAGAGTTAATATATCACTTCACATTATAGAGCTAGATAAAATAAAGCTGGTTTGGTTATCCTGCATAGTTCTCCTGAGGGTACAGATTTATAAACAAAATGATAAATACAGAAGGCCTATCATATTTGAGATTGACTTCGCATTCGGCATTTCCCCCTCCTTCCCCTTCATGTACTATACTTGAGATGCTTCTCATAATAATTGATCAACTGCAAGGAGAGATAGAAGGTTTCAGTACAGCATCACATGAAGCCACCACTTATCTTAACTAGCAGCAGAGAAGACAATTCAATGAAATATGAATTACCAGCAGTGGATCATTAGCCTTTAAAAATTTGTTATCCACGAATACTTCCTTGCCATCAGACCTGCCAAAATAATATAAACCCATCTTTCAGCCAAATTAAAAGAAGAAAGACGGGCAGACTTTGAGCCGGTAGCTAGTGTGCCTAATGTTTCAACAATACACAGAAATCTTAAGTTTCAAACTTGGTTCTTTTCATGTTACTCCAATGAGGGTCAGGTAAGCAAAGCAAGACGCAAAGGGTTCCATGCATGCACATTCCTTGGGGTGTTTAGCCTTGCAAACTTTAAAAGAAGAATATAGCAAATAGATTGGAAGTTTCAAACATCACAGGGAAATCTCGGGAGAATACAAGGAATGAAGAGTGCTAATAATCATCATGCATGCAGCCAATTCTCTATTTTAGAAGCCTATATGATTCTGTTTCTTTTTTAAAATACAAAATAAAGCTCATGTGATTCTGTGAAGAAATGTGGTCTTCTTCCATATGACTGGTGCCAGACAACCCAAACCTACACCTAACTATTTAATGGTTGATAGACACATGTAGCAATTAACAAAAGATCTATAGACGTCCGAAAATGTTTCCATGGAAAACTAATTTCAAACATAGTTGAGGACCAACCTCATTGCAGCAAAAGTTACCAGCACATCCTGAATGTTGTCAAATGAAGTAGATGAATAGCTGAGCGGCTTGAGAATCTTGATGATCTTGGATCCTTCAGTCATCTCACCTTCACAGCTGAGAGAAATGTTACATACTGGATTATCAACTGGAGGAGCTTCAAAAGAGGCTGGATCTTTTTCAAATCTCTTCACAGACCCTGATTTCCTTCTCCTAGCACCTATTCGACGGTTGGTTTGAACAGGGTCTACAGAATCAATCTTGAGAGACGACCCATTCTCAACAACTTCAAGAGCCTTGGAATCAATTAACTGTACAGAAATCTTGTCTCCGTTAACATCACTTGATGGTGCTGTTCCTCTCAGCTCACTAAGCTTTGGATCATATTCAGTATCATCCTTCACACCCAAGACATTTCTAGGGCGGCTAGTGCACCCATTCTCGCCTGCTCGAGTGGCAACATGGCTATTGGTGCCATTTTCATCATTATCTTCTTCATGAGTGTGTGCTCTAAGACTTGCAAGGCTGGATGTGTTCAGAGAAGTGGAGGGTAGACTTCTATCAGCTGCACTAACATCATCACCCGTTAGATTGTTAGCAGATGAAGCACGAGACTGCTTCTTCTTGCCCTGCGAATTAGAGCCCGCAGACTTGCGTTTCCTTTTCCGAGTAGATTTTCCAGATTGCATCCTTTAAGCAAGAGACCCATTGTAAGTAAAATATAAACTCAAAGACTTAAAGGAAAAATTATACTCACAGAAACGAGTTAGCCTCTAGATTCCCATAGATAAAATCAAACACCTTTGAGAAATTTACTGACCATGAACACTAACAAAGAGAGAGCAACATAAGACAGAGAGAGAAGGGAGCCCACCTCTCCTCGAATGCTTCAATAACATCAGAACAAGACTGCAAATTTTCTAGCGGCTCCCACGTGTTGGCTGTCTCTGGCCAGCCTCGCCTTCAGAAAGCAAGGGGGAAAAGAATTGCAACCCACCATTCATTAGTTTGCCAATGCAAGGACCGCAGATATTACAGCAAATAAGGTAGGATTATATAGAAGATCTTAAGGAAAGGGAAATGGGAGCTCACCATTTAATGAGATACTGAAGCTGACCCTGCTTTTATCAAAAAAAATTGGACGCACCCATGAGCACCACCATCCCAACCAAGTTAAATAGACATTAAACAACCAACAAAATCACCAATGCAACCTGATACTGACACCACGCTTAGGAAACAAAACATTTCGCATACGGAAGCATTTACGAACCACAATCTCATACATGGCATCATCCAAACAAACACCAATTGATAAACAGGTTGTAAAGTGCTAGTGATATCGTAATGCATGAGGAGATGAGGGGGGAAAATTAGACCTTGCGAACCCGTTTACGCCGAATAGCTTCGATTTCAAAGAAACCATCGTCGAGCTTCGGCCGTTCGTCTTGACCTCCACCCTGCTCCTCATCCTCCGCCCCCGCTTCTTCTCCGGCAGCTGCTTCTTCCTCTTCCTCGTCATCATTTTCCTCTTCGCCTTCTCTTTCTCCATCTTCTACTACTACGTCCTCGGGTTTCTCCTGCTTGTCGTCATCCCCATCTCGATTCGCTGCAATCTCGTCGTCTCTTGCCGGTCCCGCCACGCCGCCGCCAGCTTGACCCTGATCGCCAGCCGCCGCAGCGTCATTTGGGGACAGCTGATTATTGGCGTTGACAGATGATTTCCGCTTTGACTTCATCTTGGATTCGATTTGGAGGGGTTGGAAAAAATTTGAATTGGAATGGATTTGACGAGGTCAGTCGGGTTTCTCTAGGGTTTCTAGTCTTACAAGTACATTGGTTATTCTTTTTATTGGGAAGGGGAAGAGAAGAAAGGGAATGGGTTTTCGATTATTTCGTATTCCGGAGATGGAGTAATGGCGGTAACGGAAAAATCAAGAGACCGCCGTTTTCTCTCATTTTCCAGCCAGAAATTGATATTTTGCCCTGCTTCAATTTACGACATTTTAAATCTCGTTTCTGGAAATTTTGGACCTTCGATCCAGTGGTCATTTTCACCGTCGAGCTTCAACCTTTTCCAAAGGTTGTCAACCTGCGGGTCGACCCACTTTGACGTTGATCCGGTAAGAAAAATGGACCGCACGAACCTGTTGGGTCGACCGCTATAAGGTACCGAGTTGGAAGTCAAATTGTGTAATTTTTTCTTTGGTTTGCGAAATACGCCTATTTTCCGATTTTTCTTTTCACCTAACTCCATCTTTGGAATCCTAAGTTGAACATTTAAATATATATGTTATACTTGGCACTGTATGCAGGAGTATCACAAGTAAGCTGCTCGAAATGGGTAGTGGGTCGTGGATTTTCACCCCGCGGGAAGGCAATATGGCTGCCCATATTATGGCACATTCGGCTACGGATTGGAATGATCAGATTGTTTGGTTAGATAGTCCTCCAACGTTTCTAGTTGATCAGCTAGAGCTGGACAATGTAGCTTCAGTTTCTGCTTAATAAAATTTGCAGATTTTGATAAAAAAAAATATATATATATATGTTATATAAGTGTGTGTGAATTTTCACTATATGTTGGATCTAAGTACGACATGTTATTTTGGTGGAATATTATATGTTATAACTCATATGTTAGATGATATTTGATAAAATTTATTAGGATAAGTACAATATAATGGCTATTTCCATATTTTCGGGCTAAAACGGGTGACCCATTGACCGTTGACCCACTAGCTCCATCGGGTCCGGATCAACCCGTGGGTTGACAACCTTGCTTTTGCCCCAAGAAAGTTGTGGATTATTCTAGAAGACCTAAAAAATAAGGAAGATCATGAAAGAAAATGAAGACTAGTGCTAACGTCACACAAAAGAGTTTAATCTGTGACATTTGATATCAGAGTCTGATTCATTTTTGCAAGGAGAGAAGATCTTCAATGAGATGGTGTCTAGATTCGAAGTTAATAATGATGAATGTGGGATGGATAAAGTGAAGAATCTCAACCCAAGTAAAGCCAAGAGGTACAAGTCTCGAACAAGAGCTCATGACCCGGTGGTGGTAGTAGAGGAGCATCTGACGACGGCGAAGCCAAAGATAGCATAGCACACCTATGCGAAAGAGGATTTAGGACAAGGCTATGTGGACGTGAGGGAAAGCATCGAGCAACTATGTTGTGACATGCAAGGCATGAGGCAATGCACATTGAGGTTGGAGGAAGGCTAAGGCTTGGAGTCACTTTCCAACGAGCTATTTGGCATCCTCAACAGCACCATGAAGACATTGAGAGAAATAATTCGGGCCGAATTTGCTAGCAAGAGGGATGAGGTTGACGAGGTCAAGGGAGAGATGAATCTCCTAAAGAAGGTCATAGCTAACAGACCTGTCGTAGCACAACCCAGAGTGAAAAAAAAATAAACCACTGCCTCTGTAATCTTCAATGGCCTATTCACTTGCAATTTTGAATCGCCATTATATGAAACTTCCCCATCAAATCGGAATCGAATGCCAGCGTTTGTCATTTATGGTTGGTTTGGCTGGACTTAGACCAATGAAATGAAGTATCAAAGCTCCATTTAGAAAGGAAAAAAAAACAATTACTAATATCTATCCATATTAAGGAAGTTGTAGCAAAAAGATGCGGTATTGGGGACATTTACCTTATATGTGCTATAAAATTGGATGAATCCTTACTCGAAGTAAAGTGTGAACCTAAAAGAATTGAAACCCCCCATTCAGGAACAGGAAAATGCTGCATCAACACACATTTTGAAAGTTCCTAGATTTAGTCACTCCTAGTTTACACCTCAAGATCGAATGTTCTCGAGAGCTCCACGGATTGATGCAATAAGAACTCGGGTATGCCAATGTTGACTTGCAAGTCACAGTCACTTGGACAAAACAGGCGACCGATAAGTGGTTGTGGTCGATTGATTACACCAGCACGTCCATTATGATGGAAGATTGCGGTTGACCTTTAACAAGGATCGGTTGACCGTGCATAAGGGGATCATAAGCAGAACGCTTGACCTTTCAGCAAAGTGGTCGACCATATCAATAAGAGGTCGACCATTCCATAAAAGAGGCCACCCACACAGAACTACGCTCGATCCACAAATTTAATAAATCATTCTCTTGGTATATTAAAATGATGGGTTTTACGATTGACCTTTTATAAGAACAGCAACCTTAAGTTGTTGCCTATTTTGATCGAGCTCTGTAATAGTCCAGTAGACCTCACAGAACCCAGAATGTCATGCAGCTTCTGAAATCTAACAAACTATCATAAAAATGCTGAAATTCAATCAACGATCATAGTAGCGAAAAACCATATCTTCTTTAAACCTTAACCATTAACAAAAAACATAATTAACACATCTCAAAATAGTTCACACATATCTCAAATTCAAAACAATGGCTTAATCTCAATCCAAAATCATAGTTGCTTTAAACCACATCGTCTTACAAGCTTAATAGAGCACACCAAAATAAATAAAAAGCATATTGTATTTCACATAGTTACTTGATCTCTATCCTCTCATTCATCTTGATTATCCTGATTGGTGTTGCTAAAATTTTGTTGCTCGGTTGTGTTACGATACATGTATGTTCCACTAAAAGAATGGACTTCATCCCGCGTCTCAGTTACAGTCACTAGAAACGTGCTCATCTGGTTGGATATATGCTTCATATCAGTGTTTTCAAAATCGGACCGTGTTACGATCTTGATTGGCAAGAGATTTAAGGTTTATCGGATAACCAATATAAAACTGATTTTAAAATCGGTGACATACAAAAATTTTAAATAAATAATAATGACTAGATACTATGAAAATTGTTAGAATTAAGAATTATCCATTTTTCCATATAGAAACTTATCACATATGCTTATCCATGAAAATAATTTAATATATTTTCATGGGGTTGCTTTTTAGAGGAGGAGAGGAGGACAAAACACAAAACCAAAAAAATGACTAGAAGCTTATCCCATCTACTTAAAATTTTCCTTTTTAAAAATCTTTAAAGGAGAAAGGGAGGGAACATATATGTCGTTCCCGTCTTTTTCCATCCCCATCTCGTACCCTCACCTTGTTGTTGTTCCCGTGATTAGCGGCTTTGCCTTCCACTCTAATTCTCTCGTGGCCGATCTGGCTGGTTTCGAGGCCATCTGTTTCCAGTTCTGTCCACCGCACTTTGCTCGGCGTCGGATCCAATCTCGCCCTCCGGATCCAGATCAGGGCAGCAAAGGTCACAGAGTTCCTAATAAGAAGTTTCACACACCACCAACATGCCCTCCATCTTCTCACTCACAAGAAATAAGTTGTGTGCCCCAGATAAGAAGTTTCACACGCCTCCGAATAAGCCTCCCCTAAATCCATGTTCCAGTCACCTCGATCTAGACTATCGTATCTGGGGCATTAAGATTATGGCTCATTTCAATGGACACTATCCACTGTCCACACCAAGGTTTCATCTTGGGTTTCATTTAGGAAGGCTACCTATACCAGGGGTTCGGTCTCCTCGACCACTATGGGCCCCCATTCACACATCTAACATAAACTCGCTAGTTGGTACATACTCGTCTAACCCTAGAACTCCATAAAGTAGGCTAAGAGGGAAGATTAGAGCAAATAACTCAAGCGTCATCATTTAGGAAAGAGTGACATTAAAATCAACTAGACAAACACATTCATTCGTTCAAACCCTAAAATATCCATGTATACATAGTAAACCCAAAATTTAGGATTTGGGGTTTAGAACCCCTAGTACCTTAGAGGACTACTCCATAAAGGAGGGAAGAAGATACATGGTAGAAATAGAAGAAGACTTGGGGTTGAAGAGGGTGCCTCCTTGCTCATAGCTCCTCCTTCTCTTCTCCTTCCTCAGATTCTCTCTATTCTCTCTCTAGAACCAGAAAATTTCTCTCAAAATCAGCTCTCCTAAAAAGGGGAAAGGGGTATTGTATCTATAGGCATTATGGACTCGATGAAGTTCGCGGCCTGAGGATGGGAGATTGCAGAGCGGGATCTTCTAAGGATAGGCCGCAATCGCAAGACAACGTCATCATGGCCTTTTGAAGGGGGAGATTGCGGGTTGACTTCGTGGTCACGATCCACGAGTCATGGCCTTGATCTTCCTCGCGGGCAAAGTGAAAGTTGGCCGTGATGAGACTGCGGAAACTCTCTACTTCTCCAAGGTTCCTTCCATGCGAAGTTCGCGCCTTGGGCCCCAAGATCGTGATCGCGATCTTTGGCTTCTAGGCCGCGATCTTCAACTCGTCTTCGCGGCTTGTGATCTCGGCCGTGATCTTTGGCTTCTAGGCCACAATCTTCAATTCCTGCCCCTTCTCTATGCTTGTGACCTTGTTTTGTACATAATTAGCACATATCGACTAATACACCCTAAAATTACATCGAAATCAAATAGAGATGTATTTGATGATGTTTAACCATTTAAACACATGAATTGGCACAAAACATACCTAGATATGTAGTTAAATACAATGCAGTCAAAATCACGCTTTAAAACTTAAAAACTTACGATTTTACGTTTCTAGAACACTAAAACGCTTTCGTTTCCATATAAATCTTAAGTGTATAAAATCGGGACTGAAATGCGCTTTAAAGCTTAAAAGCTTACGCTTTTACGCTTCTGGTTCACCAAAACGCTTTACACTTTTACGCTTCTAGTTCACTAAAGGAGTATTCTATTCACGAAAATATTTATATTTTTCAGGTAAAGCACAAAAAATATGATATATTTAAGATTAAAAGATACATATCAAGTATTTGGGTGCATTCTTAGTTTCAATAGAGTAATCTAATTCACCAACTAGGCCCTTCCCAAAATCACTAGCTTAGAGGGGAAGGTAGCTTATGGTTAAGATATATGTTTATGAACGTATTGTTAAAATGTTATGAGTTTCTCAACTTTAGACATGAATTACAGGTATTTATTAACTTATCTAAACTAAGCGCACTCATAGTTTACATAGTATATGTCGTACTTAACACATTTTCCGTTATTTTACAGTATGCGTAAAAAACTTACGTTTTTACGCTTTGATTCTACGGTTTACGATTTTACCCATTTTCCGCTTCTAGGTAGAATCGCGCTTTTGACTGCATTGGTTAAATAACACCAAGTTTGGTGTTATCACACCCTTGTCACCAAAGAATCTCAATTTCTAATGAGGTTCCGAATATACCTTTCTGTGGATCCAAGTCAATCTCTGAATAAGAAACCAAGGAATAAAACCATCACCATTGGGCCTACCATTTCCAAATTCTTTTGAAAACCAAGAAGTGATAACCATTTGTTTCGAGGGATTTCGTAGGTGCCATGTGTTTCATTGGTGTCCATATCTCATCACCATAGGACACCATAGGAGTCATGTTCATCTGGTGAGTAACCTTCATTTGTACTGCTTGTAGAACATGATGGTCACTAAGCCTTGGTTATGCTTCATATCTCCTTTGGTCATTTCACTTGCTTTCTGTTTTCC